CCTCAAGATAGCCTAAGCCAATCGTTAGGAATACTATTTCCGTAAGACAAGTTTCTTTTTTATTCCTTTTATATTCATTTAAATAACACGGCAAAATTATATTCAGACAAAACAAGCAAACTTTATTTCCGTGTAGCCTTCATTATATTCAGTTTAAATTACATGCAACTTTCTAGTATATATAAAATCACCATCCTCAAGCAAGCCTAAACCAATCGTATAATACTATTTCCGTAAGACATATTTATTCCTTTTATTCCAGCCAAGTTCATTATATTCAGATTTAAATCACACGGCAAACTTCTTTGTGTAGCCTTGGTTGAACCTTTCTAGTAATGGCGAGTCGATAAAATCACCCATCCTCAAGCAAAAGCCAAAATACTATTTCGAAGACAAGTTTCTTTCCTTTTATTCCAGCCAAGTTCATTATATTCAGATTTAATAACACGGCAAACTTCTTTTAGTAGCCTTTGGTTGGCAACCTTTCTAGAATGGCGAGTCGATAAAATCCTCACCATCCCTCAAGCAAGCCAGAATACTATTTCCGTAAGACAAGTTTCTTTCCTTTTATTCCAGCCAAGTTCATTATATTCAGATTTAAATAACACGGCAAACTTCTTTGTGTAGCCTTGGTTGGCAACCTTTCTAGTAATGGCGAGTCGATAAAATCACCCATCCTCAAGCAAGCCTAAGCCAATCGTGGGAATACTATTTCCGTAAGACAAGTTTCTTTCCTTTTATTCCAGCCAAGTTCATTATATTCAGATTTAAATAACACGGCAAACTTCTTTGTGTAGCCTTGGTTGGCAACCTTTCTAGTAATGGCGAGTCGATAAAATCACCCATCCTCAAGTCTAAGCCAGAAATACTATTTCCGTAAGACAAGTTTCTTTTCCTTTTATTCCAGCCAAGTTCATTATATTCAGATTTAAATAACGGCAAACTTCTTTTGTAGCCTTGGTTACAACCTTTCTAGTAATGGCGAGTCGATAAATCACCCATATATAGCATATATAAGCCAATATAATACTATTTCCGTAAGACAAGTTTCTTTCCTTTTATTCCAGCCAAGTTCATTATATTCAGATTTAAATAACATGGCAAACTTCTAGTTGGTAGCCTTGGTTGCAACCTTTCTAGTAATGGAAGTCGATAAAATCACCCATCCTCCAAGCAAAGCCTAAAATCAATCGTGGGAATACTATTTCCGTAAGACAAGTTTCTTTCCTTTTATTCCAGCCAAGTTCATTATATTCAGATTTAAATAACATGGCAAACTTCTTTGTGTAGCCTTGGTTGGCAACCTTTCTAGTAATGGCGAGTCGATAAAATCACCCATCCTCAAGAAAACCAATCGAACAATCATTATATTCAGATTTAAATAACATGGCAATAGAATCCTTTTCTAGTAATGGCGAGTCGATAAAATCACCCATCCTCAAGCAAGCAAGGAATACTATTTCTTTTCCCTTTTATTCCAGAAAATATTCAGATTTAAATAACTTAAACTAAAGGTTGGCAACCTTTTAGTAAAATAAAATCACCCAGAAAGCCACTCGAATACATCGAAACGCACAGAATTAAACTTCAGAATTCTGCTGAGAAGGAGAATGGATTTACGACGTGGTGTAATGGTTAGTAATCTTGGGCTAAACAATTATGACTGAAAGTGAGTTCGAAAAACTGAAATTTAAGTCATTTTTCTAAAACCATGAAAAATAGTTCTTTACTAGAATATACCAATTCCACTTCTTCCATCAAGTTATCCTTATACACAGCGTCCTAAGTTCTTTTGTTTATAATTTTCAATCATTTCACCCCAAGCAAGGCAGGAATGACACTAGCACGCACAGCATGAAAAAGTGAGAGAAAAGACAGAATATAGGAGGATTAAGGAAAGGACAAAAAGATGAACGGATTCAAGATTGCATTTTTTTTGAAGATTGTAGTTATCCAGTTCGAGGCGGGAGAAAAAGAAACTGTTACATTTATATTTAACTATCAACAGTAAAAGGGTGGGACCTAGATACAAATCTAGAAGCACGCTTAAATTTTTGTTGTCGGGGTACCAGGGAAAAAAGCTCGTTAGGGTATATGCCATGAAAATATTGGTAGAAAAGGCAGAAGGAGGCCACGTCACGTCGGTGGGAACGTGACTGAAGTCGAGGTGCCTGGTCAGGATCGATTACATTACAGATCCTTTTTTGGATTGTGTCAAGAACCCCGTGGTGTATAGTAGGAGAAACAAACCAGATATAACAACAGTATTCAATGCACGGACGAATGGTAGATTTGTAAATGTGCAAAATGGACACTGACGAGTAAAATTTTCTCGTGCGACACCAGTGACCCAAAATTCCTTGTGGCAATTGATTTATTTTAAGTAAATTTTCTACCGTAAATTGGTATTGATGTGGTTGGGGAAATGTTCATTGTAAGTGTTCGTTCTTCCTAAGTACGCGGTCTTTCGACTGGCACCAGCAATTAAACAGAAAAAGATGAATTCGATGACATTCAGTCCGTGTGACAGTCTGCCCCACTTATGCCCAGTAAAGTACAGAAACTCTACGGGGCACAGATGCCATAAATGTTCCCAAAACGTTTGCAACAATATTGAACAATATCATCTTGATAGCTGTTCACAGATCCCTGATATTTGTAGGCGCTCGATCTTACGGGCGAATAGACTTCCCCACTATGTCCCATAGATGAATGATTGGGTTTATGTCTTACGAATGCGGTGGGAACACAATTTGTCGGTATTCTCCAAAACGCTTCTCCCACCAATGCTGGGCAACTTGAGCACGATATTATGTTTCAATGTTATGATGAAATAACCCATTGCTTTGTGGGTAGATGGAGTTGATGGATGAATGCGAGTAATTAAGAAGCAGCGCAAACTAATGGCCACCAGTTAATGGCGTGTTTAGGTGGACAAGCGGACCAAAAATACACCACGTAATCATATCCCGCACTTAAACGAAACTTACACGGTGTCTTGCTGACAACTGTAATCAATGGTATTAGCGGGTTTGCACCATCATATCCCGCATCAATAGGGAACCATACCCAGCCTACACGGTGTCTTGCTGAGCGTTGGAATCAATGGTATTAGTGGGTCTGGGAAATCATACCCCGCATCAATGGGGGACAATACCCAACCTTGCTGACAATTGTTATCAATGGTATTAGTGGGTCTGTGTCATTATATCCAGCACTAAACGGCAACCAGGACCAAATTATACGGCTTTCTGTGCTATCATATGTTTTTAATTAATTCCCCTACAATTAAGTCAATAATGCCATTAATATGCAAGGAGCTACTGGAAGTGAAAGAGAATAAAAAAGAATTTTGAAGGAACCTGAAACCCAATCCTAAACAGGAAAAAAGGGACAAACCTCTACTCCTGTTCAAAAGACAAGTGAACTTATCCACTCCTATTGAAAATTTCATACTAATAGTGAACTATGACCGACCTACACGGTGTCTTATTGACATCTAGCGTCAATGATATTATCTGGTCTGCATTTTTCATATCCTGAACTCTGCCATAAGTTGGAAAGAACTGGAACAGTAGTTATTCGGACAACGCCAAAAGTTTCCAATTCTTTTTGGTCCAATTAGAGTCGTCACGTGCCCAGACGAGGCGTTGTTTTTACTGTTTCATCTTCAGATCCTATTTTCTGAATTTGTAAATTTAATTTATAAAAAAAATTAAATTTGATTTTAATGTGACTAACAAGTTAAGAGTTTTAGAATTCGTTAATAGATATTGAAACACATATGTACTTTACTGTTAGATGTTGGTATATGAAAATTATATATTTTTCGTAGGCATTTTATCTTGTTTGTAGTTTGCGTGCATCTGAGTATGAAAAAAAAGATTTTAATAAATCAAAGTTTTCTGCTCGATACACTCCCCGAAGTTAGTAAAGATGTCAATGACATGAACAGGTTGAAAAAAAAATTCGCCAAGTGTGTTGAATTGCGAGGTAAAAATGTGGGATTAGTATACGTTCATGATATCAAATTATTCTTCCTGATCGGAATGATAATTTTCAACACTCCCTAATGTCTTTCTTCCCTAATTTCTATCTATCTATCTATCTATCTATCTATCTATCTATCTATCTATCTATCTATCTATCTATCTCTATTCAAGGCTCCTAATCTTGGAAGCAAGTAAAAAATGGATATCGTTTATTTCTGTTCTGATATTTTCTATATAATATTAATAATTCGAAAATTAAACATTTATTAATTAACTGCTTTCCTATAGAAACCGGATACAGAATATTAACATCAACTTCATACTTCGAGATCAGAAAATGTACATTTTTGTTCCCTTCACAGGTTAATTGACCTTGGTTTAAGATAAACATCCTTCACAAACTTGTGAATGAATTAAATTAAAATTTAACTACCGTTAACAACGTCATTTTTACTGAGTTTTCATACACAATGTTTTGCATCAAAAATCAGAAAAATAATTTTCAGCAATGAATGTATGCCTTAGCAAAAGTATAGCGTTCAGTGTAACCCGGATATAAGAGAGATTTTCTCTGGTCTCAAATTAGAGCCTGTGTTAATGTATATAAAATAAACCAAACCCGGATATAAGAGAAACCCGGATATAAGAGACTTCTTCTCCGGTCCCGACAACTCTCTTATATCCGGGTTACACTGTATATTATATGTAAACATATATTAAAGGTATTCCATTTTTTAATATAGAAATACACTGCAAATGATGTAAAGAAAAACTTTTATGAAAATCAGATATAAATGTATGTTAGGAATTGATAAAAACGTTACTGTTGGAATAGGTCTATCGTATATATACTATATAAACCTTTACTATAGATATGTGTTGCCAATACTTTTACTACAAATATATATTCTAAAAGGTTTAACGATAAAGAATCAGATAAACTTTATTGTCAAGAAATAGAAAAAGCATTCCTAAGAGAATAGATCTAATATATGTGAATATATCTAA